CCCCAAAACTGGAGGATAATTACCTTGCAGAGGTACTCCCAAAAAAGTGAGAAATCTGTGCTCCACATCAGGCTCCCCAGCCCAGGGGTCCTACACTAGGAAGGTAAACTTCTAGAACACTTGGCTTTGAAGGCCAGCAGGGCTTACTTTTTAGGAGAGCAAAAGAGCTGGGGAAGAAAGACTTCACTGTTAAAGGGTGCACATAAAATCGCACATGCTCTGGAACCCAGACAGAAGCAGTAATCTGATATGAGCCTGGGTCAGACCTGCCTCCTGATCCTGGAGAGTCTCCCAGAAAGGTAGGAAGCAACTGCACATCACCCTGGAAATACAACTGCTGATGGCAGCCACTCTGGGGAGCTTCTATCATGTGGACACTGACAAAGGCTAGCGTGAAATTCTGCCTGCAGCTCATTAGCACCAAGACCTGGCCCCACTCAACAGTCTGTAGGAGTCACCAGTGCTTGGATGTCTCTGGCCACGCAACCGACTGGGCAGGGCTGTGTCTCTGCCCTGATGGACAGCTCTGCCCGCCAGCATGCCGGCTGCCTTGAGACTACCTGAGGCCATAGCTGCCTCCGGATGTGGCCTTACCCACCAGAGGGCCCAGGACCTAACTCCATCCACCAGTGGGCAGGTACCAGCCCTAGAACCCTCTGGGCCTGGCTGCTGCCCTTCAGGAAGCCTGTTCTAGCCTCTGGGCCAGTTTCAACCACAAGGGGGCAGACACTACATGCAAAAACCACAATCCCAAAGCCTGCAGACCTGGCCTGCCTACCAGCAAGTCAGACCCTGCCCAGATGGGCCCCAGCCCTGCCCTCTAGCAGGCCAACACAAACTTTGAGACACTCAGAACCTGGTCCCAGCAGTATCAGGAGTGCCCCTTCCCCCTCCCCCAGCAATCCAAGACCATGTCTGGGCCCTGCAACCAGATTCCAGGACATAGCTTTGCCCACCGGTGGATTGGCACTGACACCCTTGCTGTCACCGACCAGACAACATTACCAGAGTTCTTTGGACCCTGACTCCAGCCATCCGTGACCCAACACTAGGCCTGGGTCCCCCTGAGGTTCCGTAGTCAGCTGCCTCTGTACTTAGCAGCCTCAACTCATGTGGATAGCCTGGATACCAATTGGACCAGGGGCCAACCAAGCCTACTAGACCTCCCACATAGCCAGCCTGCAACAACAGGAGGACCCATGCAACCCTCATATAAAGTACTCAAGAGCATATAGTTTGGGTGATGAGAGGTGAGTGCACTGTTGGGACACCTAAGAGGTCTCCTACAAAATAGCACTTCTCCAAGGTGGGAAAATGTAATCAACCTACCAGATACATAAAAAATACAAACAGCTTAGCAAAATGAGGTGACAGACGAAGATGTTCCAGACAAAGGAACAAGATAAAACCTCAGAAGAACAACCGAGTGGAGCTAGGCAATCTAGCTGGGAAAGAGTTCAGGGTAGTGACTGTAAAGATGATCAAAGAAATAGGGAGACACAAAAAGTGAGAAGTTAAAGGTTTTTAACAAAGAGAAAATATATAGAACAACCAAACAGAGATGGAGAATAGAATAGCTGAAATGAAAAATACACCAGAAGGAATCAACATTAGAGCAAATGATGGATGAGTGAACTGAAAGACTGTAGTGGGAATCACTGATGCTGAACAGAAAAAAAGAAAAAATGGAAAGAAATGAGAGTCTGAGAGACCTCTGGGACAACATCAAGTGCACTGATATTCATGTCCCAGAAGGAGAAGAGAGAGAGAAAAGGACTGAAAACATAGTTGAAGACATAATAGCTGAAAACTTCTCTACTCTGGAAAAGGAAGCAGACATCCAAGTCCAGGAAGTGCAGAGAGCCCCAAGCAGGCGCCAAAGAGGAACATATGAAGACACATTGTCATTAAAATGGCAAAATCTAAAGGGAAAAAACATTAAAAGCAGCAAGGGGAAAGCAACAGATAACACACTAGCAAACTCCCAGAAGGCTGTCAGCTGACCTTTCAGCAGAAACTCTGCAGTTCAGAAGGGAATTGCCCAATATGTTGTGAAAGGGAAAAACCCACAACCAAGAAACTTCTAGCCAGTAAGACTCTCTCCTTCAGATTCCATGGAAATATCAGCAACTTCACAGGCAAGCAAAAGTTCAGCACCACCAAACCAGCTTTACAGGAAATGTTAAAGGAACGTCTCTAAATTAAAAAGAAAAGGCCAAGTCTAGAAACATGAAAAGTATGATAGGAAAAAGCTCATAGGTAAAGGCAAACATAACGGTAGGAAATCATGTCACGCACAAAGCTAGTAGGAAGGCTAAAAGACAAAAGCAGTAAAAATCATCTATATCTTTAGTAAGCAGCTAAGGGATACATAAAACAATGAGATGTGAAATGTGATATCAAAAGCAGTAATCAAGATGGGAGGAGAGCCCAAATGCAGAGTTGTACTTTGAAATTAAGAGATCAGCAATTTAATACAATCATGTGTGTATTTTATTGCTATTTAAAAGCCTCATGGTAACCACAAACCAAAAACTTATGCTAGGTACACAGAAAAGTAAAAGGAATCCAAACATAATACTAAAGATGGTCCTCAAATCACAAGAGGACAAAAGAAGAAAGGGGCAAAAAAGCCTTAACAAAAAGAACCCCCAGACAATTACAAAAAAATGATAATGAGAATACACATATCAATAATTACTTTAAATTTCAGTGGACTAAATGCTCTAGTCAATAGACATAGAGTGGCTGGATGGATAGATCTGTATATATGTTGCCTACAAGACACTCACGTCAGATCTAAAGACACAAGAGACTGAGGGTGAGGGGGAGAAAGATACTCCATGTAAGTTGGAATCAAAAGAAAGCTAGGGTAGCAAAACCTGTATCAGACAGATAAACTCTAAAATAAAGACTGTTAGAGAACCAAGGACACTATATAATGATCAAGGAATCAATCCAAGATGAAGATAAAACAATTGCAAATATATATGCACCCACCATAGGAGCACTTAAATACATAAAGCAAATATTAATGGATGGAAAGGGAGAGACCAACAGTAACTCAATAATAGTAGGGGACTTTAAAACCTCACTTACATTAATGGACAGGTCATCCAGACAGTATAAAGTCTCTCATTGGTCTAATGTGTCATTTAAAGCTAGTGTTTCCTTGCTGATTTTATATATATTTATCCAACATTTAATTTGAAAGCATCAGAATACATATTCTTTTCAAGCACACGTAGAACATTCTCCAGGGTAAAGCACATGCTGCTGTGCATCAAAGCAAGCCTTGGTAAATTTTTAAAAATTGAAATCATATAAAAACATCTTTTCCAATCACAATGCTATGAAACTAAAAGTCAACTATAAGGAAAAATGACTACCAAAAAAAAAAAAAACCCACCAAAAACCCCCCATGTGGAGCCCAAAGAGCATGCTACTAAACAACCAATAAGTCAATAAAGAAATCAAAGAGGAAATAAAAAAAAAATGCCTGGAGATAAATGAAAATGAAAACACAATCCAAAAATCTGTGCAAACAAAAATCTATACAACAAAAGCATGTTGTTTATAGCAAAACAAGCTTAACTCAGGAAACGTGATCTGACCTGATCCCCACAGCAGCCCCAAAAGAAAGGGTTTCCTCTAATTTAATTATTTGCAATTTTTATAATATCCATGTACTACCTTATCCATGTATACAACATTATATTTTTAATTCAATCACTATGTTTTAAAAATAAATATAAGTGGTTTTTTTTTTTTTTTTTACCATACTCAAAAAAGGAAAGCAGCTAACAGATTTTTGCCTGCCCTTGAGGACTTATCTAGGCAAAGAATATATGTGCCTTAGAGAGTGTAAGGTATTACAAATTATACAGCTTCACCAAGGGGATGTGAAATAAAAGGACTATTAGGAAATGGGTGAAGGAAATGTGGACCTGAATTTACCATAGCATAGAGATTTCCAAGAAGGGAGAGACAGGGAGCAAGGACAGAGGGCAGTAGCAGATAGCCGAGAGAAGGAGGAACCTTAGGAAGAAAAACGTAGAGAACTGTGACTGCAGAGCTGAGGAATTTAACTTTGATGTGACAGCGCCCTGAGAGTCACTTTAGGTTGCAGAGTAAAGGAATGCTATGATGAAAATAGCATCTGAATTTTTTAAATTCTGGCACCATGTTTCCTATCACCTGAAAGAGAGGAAGATAAGTACAAGATTCTAGAACTAGCTGGGGCATAAAATGATGAAGCTGGATTAGGGTAGTCTGAAAGACATGGGCAAGGACTGTACAACTTGGGATCAAATTGACCTGAGGACAGATGGGGGACAAAAACAGCTCTAAGGTTGTGAGCCTGGTGCATGGTGGCGGTCACTGAGTAATGCGGTAGTGTTGACTGTGACTTTGTAACTCAGTGGTGTATGCAAATTCTGCATGCAGAAGAATATTTAGGAGGAAGTGTCCTACCAATAATTAGAGCCAAAGGATTGAAGGGACAGCGGGAAGTCTCAGCTGGAAGGCTAGTTGGTGAGTGCTTTGTCAAGTCTAGTCGACAGAGGCTTTGTTGGGGGGTGGGCATTGCTGGGTGGGGAGAAGCTACTTATGTGATTATGCCCATGTTTCTTCGCGGAATTCAGAGTAATCAGGGCCAAATATCTCTTTCTCTCCAGTAAGATGTTTTCCTTCAAGGATGACTCAATGAATGAAAAGGTGTTTGAATTTATACAAATATTTGAATTGTATAGAGTTGCTTTTCCTGTGAGTCTGTCAATGAGGTCTATACTCGTTGTTAACAAATGCTTACCTTTTACAATAGCAGTGGAAATAGTGCCTGCTGCCCTGACATTATTAATGTTTCTCTCTGAGGCTGGGGGCTGCTTGATTCTTGATAGGGACACAAGTACAAACATACACAGAGGATCCCGAACACCATTTGTGATTCATCTCACCTGTCATACGAATGACTTTGCATGTTTCTGTGTGACCAAGGTCTGTTATTTTAGCATCAGATAAAAGCAGAGCGGCAAGAGTACCCAGTCGATGGCAGAATAAGCAGAGACACACAGGGAAGCCTTTGAGTTCAGCAGCTGTAGGTGACTTCGCCTCTTAATCTCAGAGTCTGTAAAGGAAGAGAAAAATGTTCAGAATCATAGAGGAAAAGGTGATGTCTTCTGCATGTGGCTGGTTAACAAAGAAAAGTACCCCCAAAGCAGAACACGTTGTTCCTAATATAACTTGTGCCCTAGTTTGGGGGGAATTTTGTAACCCATTCTCCACCTTTCTGTAATTAGCTTAAAAGCAGAGCTTTCCCTTTCTTGAGAGATGTTCCATTCTCTCTTCCAGTCCAGTGAGCACTCAGCCAAATGAAAAACGATGCCAATAAACAGATTGCTATTGGTTACCAAATAAAAAATAGGCTAAACCAACAGCCACCGCCAGTCCTTGCTTTCAGACACATTTTTTTCCCTCTAGACGGTGACCTTTACAGGTTCTGTGTCATTTGCTTTCATCACAGCGCCACCAAGTAATGAGAAAATATTGTTCTCATTTTGAAGTAGAGAAAGGCAAAAGTGAAGAATTAAATTACTCTTTACTCTATTTTCTCCCTAGATAGTCCAATGTCATTTAGTCCGTTTCAACTCTGACACTTAATAGCTGTGTGACTTCAGGCAAGTTTAGGCAAGTTAATCTATATGTGCTTCAGTTTCTTCATCTATAAGATAGGGCTAAAATAATAATCAACTTCTTAGGGTTCTTATGAGGATTAATGAATTAATACATATAAACACTTAGAACAGACGCTGGCCCCATAGTAAGCACTCAATAGGCATTAGCTACAAAAACAACAGTAACCCCACTCAAGCCTGATAAACATTACTTCCATTAAGTTGATCATTTCTAAATCCACCTCCTTAGCCCCAGTTCTGTCCTAAATTCCACATCTGTATTTATAGTTACTAGAGTATGTCAGTTTAAAAATGTAATATTCAGCAAATATTTTTGAGTGCCTGTTGTTTGAATTCAAAGGAGTCTAATAAACACCCTCTCCCCCACTGAGCTCTGAACCAGTTAAAGAGTAAGACGAAAAAAGTGAGGCAACTGGAAGACTAAAATCACCTTTATTCTTGATAAAGCTGATAATAAAGAATTAGGCTTTGTCTGCAGAGACGTGGGCTGCAGGCATCTTAAGACCGGGGCCTGCTTTCTCCCACAAGGGCAAATCCTGCCCCTGAAAACTGATGACTCAGAGGAGCTAATTTCTGGTTAGTTAGAGAGAAAGGAACATAATTCCTTGTGTTATAGAATAACACAAGCAGCTCCGCTCTGGTGTTGAGCTACTTATGCGTCCCCTGATAAACTCACTGATGGGGTGAGTTAATTCCTCCTCCTCTGGGAAAGAGTGAAAGAGGGGAGAAGAGAGAGACTAGAAGGGTTACACTGGTGGTAGAGGTCTCTTCCCATGGAAGAAGTCTGTGGCATAGGGATGAAGCAGCCTCCCCCAGACTTGTCATGTGCCGGGTCCTGTGCTAAGCACTGGACATCTCTGCCTTTGTACGCAGTGGACACTTTCAACACAGCACCTCTAAAATCTTTAATTTCCTCCCAAACACGTTGCTTTTCCTACATTTTCATTATTGTTGTTGTTGGTAGCATTACTAAACCTCCTAAGCAATCTGGGTAGAAATATCAGACCCCTCTCAAGTTATTCCTTCTCTTGTCCTGCACATTGGTGTCACCAAGGCTTGTAGATTGTTTTCTTCATTAACTTTTGATTCTTCCCCCCTTCCTTCCCATTGTCACTGCCCCAGTTAAGATCCTTGTAATTTCTCCCCGGGACACTGATATAGGCTCCTGACTTCATGCCTTTCTAGTCTATTAAAGTCATTTTTTCCCTTCAAAACCCAGCTTGAACTCTTTCTCATCTATTGAGCCACTGTACTCTTAATAACTCTTTCCCCTAGATGCCACATCCACCCTGATTAACTTCTCTTATGACAACTGTGCTATTCATCGTAGTGTTTCATAGGACTTACAAATTGCTTTTCATGTGTTTGGCACTCAGTAGACACTTGTTGAATGAATGACCCCAGTTAGCAATAAGAGAACACAGGATATAAACCCCACAGCCTCGTTCAGTTGTTTAAAAACTTACCCTGTGTGTGGTAAAAAGGAGTTATGTTAGTTTATGTTGATTTTTGAGCTATGTCATACTTCTAAAAGTTGTATATAGTCCTAGTACTGGTATATGGAGCACTTGTTCTAATGTATCCAATAAGCATGAGCTGAAAAAGAACCTGCTCACTGAATAAAAGCTGTGCTCAATTTCTGTGGCTTGTTCAGTTATTGCCATTTCTATTAGGAGCATTCGTTATATAGTTTGGAGCTTTTAATTGAGATCTAAACTGAGATACTCTTGTTAACACTCATTGTTTTAAGTGCCTAACACTTCATTCTCCCTTCTCTTCTGGGAAGGCCTTTCATCCAGGTACTGTCTCATTGGTCTAAGTACAGGTAGCTGACTGAAGTTGAGCCTTTCTGGGAATGTCGAGTCAGACTGAGGGACTGACCTTCAGTCTGGTTACTCTCTTGAGAGAAAGAGACTTTTACAGGTAAGAGCTCTTGGCAATCATATTTTTCCCTGTTGACTAACACAAAAGAGTAAATTAGAATTTACTAGAGAATAAGCTAGAAATGAGAGACAAAGAATACCAATGGAATTTAAGTTCTTAGTTCTGGCTGCTCCTAAAGTCATACTGTACTTCCTGACCTTGGTTTCATGAGATATCCTAATACCCTTTTAGCTTAGGCCTGAGTTGGTTTTGTCTTGTGTTATAGGCAACTAAAAGTGTTCTAATTGGTACAGTCATCAATTTGTTCCACAGGATAGTGGAAGAACTCTCTTTTTCTCATGTAGATGATTTTTTTTAATTAGATACTGCTTTACCAAAGAAATCCTTCTGAGTTAGACAGGGCCTCAGAATCCTAAACACTGCTCTCCAGGCAGTAAGAAGGCATACAAATGAAAATTAATTGTCAGCTTTGCCCTGTAGGCCATAAATAGTTTTGTATTCGTTTTGTTCTTACATAATGCAGTCTCAACTGGAATTGTGATTGAGGTCTCAGTGAAACTTTCTGTGCCCTGGTAGATAATTTATCTGTTAAAGAAATTAAATTTTAATTATACTTGATTATAACAGCAATACATTCATACCACAAGTGTGAAGGAGCCCACCTGTCACTTTGATATCCCCTGTGGCTTTGGCAATGTTGTTTTCAATCATACAGGAGTAAGTGTTGTTGATTGTGACGTTGTAGAGTACGGACACAACCTTCATGGTCACATTCTCAGAGTTCAGCTCAAAGCTAGTGTTGGAGACATCTGAGAAATTGGCTCCCTGGTCAACTTGGGATGCCCAGACCACTGTGGGCTGGGGAAACCATCGGGGAGCCTCACATCGTAAGCTCTCCGAGCTGGCGTTATAGTCCACGTTCACCTCTGGGATGCTGAAGGCTGCAGGTCAAAAGGACAGATGTCAAGGTTGGACGATAAGACAGTGCAGTCTTTGAGGTGCTAGGTCTTACAACAAAGACACTGAAGTGACTCAGTACTTTCCCAGTGGGCTGTGTATGGCTCATTGTATCATAGATGCAAAAAGTGATTTGCTCATAGTATTGCTATATATCACAACATTCTGGCCAATATCACAAACTCCAAGGACCTATGTTCTAGATGTAATTGTTACACAAATAAATTTCTCCATGTAAGAGGAGTTCCAGTGATCATACAAAAAATTTTATTAACTAGGGAAGTTGGGTGTTTATTTTCCCAGGCACCTTGTGAAGCCTCCTGAATTTTATGTATTTTTCTGCCTGGAGGGTAAAGTTAGGGTGGGGAGGGAGAAGGAAGAAAGAAAGAGCATTCACCTATCACCCACAGAAATTCCATACACAGGACTTGTCATCGTGGAGATCTGAAGTTTGCTTGGGTAGAGATTGCCCTGGTATCCATGAATAAAGACAGGCAATTGTTTTCTTCTAAGATAATGCTCCCTGGGCTGGCAAGTACATTTTGAAATTAAAACTAACTTCCTCATCTATCTAGGCATAGAGACACTTGTAAAAATGTTAAGTTGTGGACTTTGGCCAGTAAATGTTTATTATGCCAAAAAGGCAGGATACACATTGTTAATATATTCAACATCTTCCTTTGCCCAGGACTGTGCTAGTGTTGAGTGAGAAGTAGAAAGACAGCTTTGCTATACCCTTAAAGAGCCTGCAGCACAACAGGGAGACCAGACTCACATACTTGGAGCAGGTTAGGAATGAGCTCCTGGGAGATGATGTGGGAACCTGAGTGTACATGACAATGAACCACCATTTATTGAGGGTGGGCTCTGGGCTACGGACCAAATTCTAGACATTATTTCATTTGTTTGTCAAAACAGTCTCAGGTGTATCTATTATTGTGACCACTTTAAAAAATAAATTTTTAATTCTGGAATGATTTTATTTATCTTTTGGCCATGCACGGCAGCATGTGGAATCTTAATTCCCCAACCAGGGATCGAACACGTGCCCCCTGCATCGAAAGCGTGGAGTCTAAACCACTGGACTGCCAGGGAAGTACATGGAATAACTTTAGATTTATAGAAAAGTTGCGAAGTTAGTACAGAGGGTTCTTGTATACTCCTTACCCAGTTTCTGCTAATATTCCGCTAACATAACCATGACACATTTGTCAAAACTGAGAGACTATTAATATTGTGTATATATTACTATTAACTCCAGACTTCATTTGGATTTTATCAGTTTTTCCAATAATTTCCATTTCCTATTCCAGGATCCCAATCAGAATGTCACATTGCCCTTATTTGTCATGTCTTTTTAGATTCCTCTGGTCTGTGACATGTTCTCAATCTTTCCATGTTTTTCATGACCTTGAGAATTTTGAGGAGTACTCAGTTCAGTTCAGTTCACTCGCTCTGTCATGTCCAGCTCTTTGTGACCCCATGGACTGTGGCCTGACAAACTTACCTGTTCATCACCAACTCCTGGTGCTTACTCAAACTCTTATCCATTCAGTCGGTGATGCCATCCAACCATCTCATCCTCTGTCGTCCCCTTCTCCTCCCACCTTCAATCTTTACTGTCATCAGGGTCTTTTCAAATGAGTCAGTTCTTCGCATCAGGTAGCCAAAATATTGGACTTTCAGCTTCAGCATCAGTCCCTCCAATGAATATTCAGGACTGAATTCCTTTAGGATGGACTGGTTGAATCTCCTTGCAGTCCAAGTGACTCTCAAGCGTCTTCTTCAACACCACAGTTCAAAAGCATCAATTCTTCGGCGTTCACCTTCTTTATGGTCCAACTCTCACATCCATACATGACTACTGGAAAAACCATAGTTTGACTAGATGGACCTTTGTTGGCAAAGTAATGTCTTTCCTTTTTAATATGCTGTCTATGTTGGTCATAGCTTTTCTTCCAAGGAGCAAGAGTCTTTTAATTTCATGACTGCAGTCACCATCTGCAGTGATTTTGGAGCCTCCCAAAATAAAGTCTGTCACTGTTTCCATTGTTTCTGCATCTATTTGCCATGAAGTGGTGGGACCGGATGCCATGGTCTTCATTTTTTGAATGTTGAGTTTTAAGCCAATATTTTCACTCTCTTCTTTCATCTTCCTCAAGAGGTTCTTTAGTTCCTCTTCACTTTCTGCCATTAGCATGGTATCATCTGCATGTCTGAAGTTATTGATATTTCTCCTGGCAATCTTGATTCCAGTTTGTGCTTTATCCAGCCCAGCATTTCTCATGATGTTCTCTGCATATAGGTTAAATAAGCAGGGTGACAATATACAGCCCTGACGTAACCCTTTTCCTATTTGGAACCAGTCTGTTGTTCCATGTCCAGTTCTAAATGTTGTTTCTTAACCTGCATACAGATTACTCACGAGGCAGGTTAGGTGGTGTGGTATTCCCATCCCTTGAAGAATTTTTGTTTGTTGTGGTCCACACAGTCAAAGGCTTTGGTGTAGTCATAAAGCAGAAGTAGATGTTTTTCTGGAACTCTCTTGCTTTCTCAATGATCCAACAGATGTTGGCAATATGATCTCTGGTTCCTCTGCCTTTTCTAAATCCAGCTTGAACATCTGGAAGTTCACGGTTCACGTACTGTTGAAGCCTGGTTTGGAGGATTTTGAGTGTTACTTTGCTAGCATGTGAGATGAGTGCAATTGTGTGGTAGTTTGAACATTCTTTGGCAGTGCCTTTATTTGGGATTGGAATGAAAACTGACCTTTTTCAATCCTATGGCCACTGCTGAGTTTTCCAAATTTGCTGACATATTGAGTGCAGCAGTTTAACAGCATCATCTTTTAGGATTTGAAATAGCTCAATTGGGATTCCATCACTTCCACTAGCTTTGTTTGTGGTAATGCTTCCTAAGGCCCACTTGACTTCACATTCCAGGATGTCTGGCTCTACGTGAGTGATCACACCATCGTGGTTATCTGGGTCATGAAGATCTTTTTTGTATAGTTCTTCTGTGTGTTCTTGCCCCCTCTTCTTAATATCTTCTGCTTCTGTTAGGTCCATGCCATTTTTTTCCTTTATTGTGCACATCTTTGCATGAAATGTTCCCTTGGTATCTCTAATTTTCTTGAAGAGATCTCTAGTCTTTACCATTCTATTCAGGAGTACTAGCTAGATATTTTGTAGGATGTCTTCTATTGGAATTTGTCTGATGATTTCCTCATGATTAGACTGAGATTATGGATTTTGGAGAGGAAAACAATAGAAGTTAAAGTGCCGTTCTCATTATGTCCCATCAGAGAGTGCATGAAATCAGCAAGACTAAATCATAAGGATGTTAACTTTGATCACCTGGCTGAGGCTGTGTTTGCTGGGTTTCTTTGGAAATTGGACTTCACTAACACACCTTAAGTGTGGTGGTTGGGGGAGCAGGGAAGTTCTAAGCTCCACCTCCCAGAAGGGGAGAGATCTAAAAATATTATTTGGAATTCATCTATAAAGAAAATTTGCTTTATCTCACTCATGTAAGAATAGACTTGTGTATTTATTTTATACTTAGTTATAATTTAATACTATGTTGTTTATTTTGTTGCTCAGAGCATTCCAGCTTTGCCACTGGAAGTCCTTTCAGTTGGCTCCCGTGTCCAGTGACTCTCTTAATCCCTATTTTAATATGGAGAAACTAAGTCTCAATGAGGTTACCTTGCCCAAGCCACTGTTATGTGCCCAGGTCTGTCTCTAGATCTGTGCTTCAAACCATTACATATACATGTCATGAGAGTTCCCAGAAAGACCTGTGCAGACTAACTTAGGCTGGGAAGTCTCAGAATACTTTCTATCTTTCAAGGCTCCTATTAAATGTCAAATTCTTGCCATGGGGGCCTTCCCATCCCTTTACTCCCTATGCATTTGGATATGATCTCTGAATCCCCAAATCACTCTATATTTTCTCTTCAAGCACTTAATACACTTGTGGCTCAGTGGTAAAGAATCTCTCTGCCAATGCAGGAGACTGAGGTTTGATTCCTAGGTTGGGAAGATCTCCTGGAGGAGGAAATCCCACTCCAGTATTCTTGCCTGGAGAATCCTGTGGACAGAGGAGCCTGGCGGGCTACAGTTCATGGGGTCGCAAAGAGTTGGACACAACTGAGCAACTAAACAAAAAGCACTGTAGGACTTCCCTGGTGGCTCAGATGGTAAAGTATCTGCCTACAATGTGGGAGACCCGGGTTCGATCCCTGGGTCGGGAAGATCCCCTAGAGAAGGCAATGGCAACCCACTCCAGTACTCTTGCCTGGAAAATCCCATGGATGGAGGAGCCTGGTAGGCTACAGTCCACAAGGTCGCAAAGAGTCAGACATGACTAAGCCACTTCACTTCACTTCACCAATTATTATAGATTTTACACATATTTCTTATCTCTGCCCTGACCCTCAACTCTATAAACTCTACACTATGAGCTCTGGCTCTAGAAGGAAGGACAATTATCTTTGTTTTCTTAATCATCTTTTTACTCTTACAGTATCTGAGTCCCTTGTACCTAAATTCAGAAAATGTTAAATTTAGTTGGTAAGGAAGTATGGATTTCATGGGAGAAGGATTAGTGAGTTTATAGGATAATATTGTTTTGGTCAGTTACCTTTGAACTTCTCCTATAATGGTTTCCACTGCTGTGAGTCCCTGGAGGTACTGATTTCAGACTTGGGCTAGAGCCTACTTAGAACAGAAAAGTCTCAGACTGGATTATATATAGTCTTCTCTCACTAGCAAAACTGAAGGCTACCGTAAAAGAGAAAGAACAGAGAGCTATTGAGGGAGAAAAAGTATTTTGGAAAAATATTTCAGGGGATATATGAGAAAATTCAGAAGAGGCTAGAGTCCTGAACAAAAGATTTTAAGACTTAATATTATAGTGGGTTACTTCTGGAGTTGGTGTGGGTCTTAGACAGCAAGGATGGCTGCTAACAGAATTCAGATGGTCTTTGTTTGGATATTAGTCACTCATGAGCTATTTACACTCTCTAGTCTCAAATATCTCCTGGCCCCTTCCTTCCCACTGTGCAAAAGTAACTTACCTCCAGTTTTATATTTGAGGTTAGCATTCCCCTTGCCCTTAGAAGTGATGATGTAACATTTATAGGTGCCAGCATCCGTGAGTTGTACATTTTTCAGCCTCAGAGAGGCATTACCAACTATTACTTGATCAGAAAACACTGCTGTCCGGCCTCTGAACATTTCATCCTGGTTTGACAGGACATCTTTGCCTTCTTTGAACTCATGGACCAAGCCCATGACACCTTCCTTCAGCCACTGTATCACGATATCAGCAAGTTTGATGTCAGGTTCAAAAGTGCAACTTAGGATGCCATCCTCCCCGATGTTCCCAGCTGAGGTGAGAGTAGTGACTGTGATGGAGTGTCTTCCTACAATTCAGGAAACAAGGGTCAATGCCAAGGGAAGCTTTGGAACATCTGCAACTAAATCCTTTGTCATTAAAAAGCCAAACAGTGACTTCTATAAAAAATTAGAAATATACAAAACAGGAGAGTCATGAAAAAAGAAGACATAATAGAGCATTAAGACAATAGTTTTGATTCCTTCAGCAGATCTGCCAATAGCTGATAAAAAAAGGTATACTATAGCTTTTTGAGACCAAGCAACCAAAACCTTGAGACCAAACAAGAGGAGAATGTATTGGACTTGAGTTTTGAAGATGAGAATTCCAATCCTGGCTTGGTCAGTTAACGAGGTTTGTGAACTTGACTCCACCTCTGGGTTTCAGAAAATTGGAGGTAAGGATATCTGTCTTACCTACCTTAAAGAGCTCTTGTGAGGATCAAAATCAAATGGATGTGAATTTGATTTGCAAACTGTAATTAACCATATAAGGTAATTGTTATTCTTAGTTAACCAGAAGTGGCATAGAAATGAACTCTCATGTTAACTAAATGTGGCTAATAATTCTGAAGAATGCTAAATTCTAAAGTGCTGTTACTTTTATCTCCACCTGAATGATAAGGAAACTAAGGCATAGAGAATAGAAGTGACTTGATTAAGGTTAGAGTGCTAGCTATGGTAAAATGAAGAATGGTACTTAATTCAATTGATTTGGGGCCGAAGATAGAAGTCACACCCTCCTCTCCAAACATATCACAAGTAGAAGCATTAATTAGGGTGACAGTCATGTCCACTGTCTCTTCTGCACTTGCCCACTCAGTCTATAAGGGATTGACCAACTCTTCTTGCTGTACTGGAGGCTGCTGATTAAGGATGTTTGTGGGGTGATTTAATTAACTGAATATTCTTGAGAGCCTCCTTCTGTGATTTGGATGTGAAGCTAAGGAGAAGGATGGGTCTTTGAGCTCAAGAAGAGAGTGGTACAGACCCAAAGAAGTGTGGGGGAGACCATGAGAGGAAAAAATGAAGGGAGTCCCCCATCTCCAGTGCTGTCTTAGATCCTGAAGGTTTTCAGGTCTAGTTTCTGTCCACTTTCTGAGTATCCTTTAATCAAACACTGATTATAATGGTCTGCACAAGCATCTCTTTCTTACAACCAAGAAAGTCCTACATATGATAGGTGCTGAGCACTTCTCAGCTGGACTTCTCAGCTTCCTTGTTGGTGTTCCTGCCTCTCATCTTTGCATCCAGGTGGACCTTAAAGAACAATCTTAACATCTCAGTTTTTTTTTTTTAATACTGTTTTTTATTTTTTAGTTCTAAATTTTTGTTTTGGCTTCACTGGGTCTTCATTGCAGCATATGGGTTTAGTTGCCCTGTGGCATGTAGGATCTTAATTCCCCAAACCAGAGATGGAACCCACATCCCCTGTACTGGAAGGCAGGTTCTTAACCACTGGACCACCAAGGAAGTCCCCATGTCAGTTTTCTAATCTCTGACCTTCCATGACTGCCAAGGGCTATGGAGTAAACTTCAGACTAATAATAGCATGGCCTTCAAAGTGAAGTACTGCGGGCCACGTAGGAAATGCCCATATATATTAGCTCTTATTGCTGCTTTTCCAGACATACTTTCTACTACATTCTATACTGTAGTTTGCATATCAAGCAATTTATTTATTTGCTGCTTTCAATGGAAAAATACATAAGCAAAGGATACTTGCTATTTTTCAAATTTAAGAGGTTAACATTTTGAACATAGGGATATCTTTGGCCTCTTGTGTCTTCCAGCCCATAAGAGGTTGGAAATGTCTCATTAGCTCCTAAGCCTTTGTAAACAAATGAAGGTAATGGATGTGGGACAGAACTGGAGAAGCAAGCTGGATGAATTTATGTTATAAAGAACAGAGAGCTACTAATGGAAGAAAAAATTATCAGTAAAAAGGAGACAGAAGAAACAAAAGCACGTGCATAGTCTGAGTTGGAAGGATGTTTTGGAGGCTTTAGAGTATGGGAAATGAGAGGCTGTGGAGTAACTGCCATGAATGGCCATCTATGTGGGAGATTTGGGAAAAAAAATATGAAAGAGGGTAGTATGCAGTTTAGCTGTGTAATATGAGTGCAACATACCCACCCCTGCCTTTTCTTTCTTTCCCTTTTGTGCTGCTCTAATAAAATTCTATTTTTATTTTTGCAAAGATGTACTTGATTTTTTTCAATAAAAGAAAGAACATAAAAAAGTTCAATGTAATAGCAAATTTGATACATTTGCTCTTCCTGTACAGAATCCTGGAACAGTGGGGCTCACAGACAGGCTCTAACAGAGGACCTCATCATGAGGAAAGAGTTTGCCCTGCCTTGGCATTTTCTTTTCATTATTTTTATTTATTTGCCTGCGCCAGGCCTTACGGCACATGGGATCTTTAGTTGTGGCATGTGGGATATAGTTTCCTGACCATGGATCACATCCAGGCCTCCTGCACTGGAAGCATGGAGTCTTAGCCACTGGACCACCAGGGAAGTCCCCTGCTTTCGTATTTTCTTGAACATTGCTTTAAAGATTTAATTTGCTGTTTATTTGTTTTTACTTGACAGATTGATATCCAAGATATTGCAGGCTAGTACTGGTTATAATTGTACTGTGCATCTTGACACATACCCTTGTTCATCTTGCACCTACAGTTTATAGTTCCTTCTCCTTTATCACCAATTGTTCAAATCCTACTTATATTCAAGGCTATTCAGATTGAGGGATTCACATGAAACCCTTTTTGATCTGCCAAAACAAAGTTAATAGATTCTCGGGAGGCGGGAGGGGGGATCGGGATGGGGAACACATATAAATCCATGGCTGATTCATGTCAATGTATGGCAAAAACCACTACAATATTGTGAAGTAATTAGCTTTCAACTAATAAAAATAAATGAAAAAAAAAACTTAATAGATTCTCTTTACTCTTCCTGAACACTTTTCTTTGCCTTTATTGTAGCACCTGTCTCCCTTTACTTTGTCTCTATTCTGTCTCTGGCACTAATTCATAACCTTTTCAAAGGAAAAACTGTCTTAATCATATTTGTAAGTCCTGTAAATGCTTCGATGGTTACTTTTATGTGTCAGCTTGACTGGGTCACAGAGTACCCAGCCATTTGGTCAGATATTCTGGGCTTCCCTGGTGGCCTGCAATGCGGGAGACCTGGGTTTGATCCCTAGGTTGGGAAGATCCCCTGGAGAAGGAAATGGCAACCCACTCCAGTACTCTTGCCTGGAAAATTCCACGGATGGAGGAGCCTGGTAGGCTACAGTCCATGGGGTCGCAAAGAGTCAGACACAACTAAGCGACTTCACTTTCACTTTCTGGGTATGTCTGTGAGGATGTTTCTGGGGGAGATTAGTATTTGAATCAGTAAAGCAGATCACTGTCCTTAATGTGGGTGGGCCTCATCCAATCAATTAAAGATCTCATAGAACAAAAAGGTGGAGCAAGAGGGCTCTCATGCTGCCTTTGAGCTGGGACATCTGTCTTTTCCTGCCTTCAGTCTTGAACTGTGATTTTTTGTGATTTTGAGCCTGCCCATTTTTAGGCTAGAACTACACCATCGGCTCTTCTGGGTCTCACACCTTTGGACTCAGACTGGAACTGAACTATCTGGGTCTCCAGCTTACTAACCACGGATCTTAGGACTTCTCAAAGTCCACAATCATGTGAGCCAATTCCTTCTAAATTTCACTCTCTCTCTCTGCCTTTCTCTCTCTCGCCTCCTCCCTATATCCCCCCCGTCACACACACATACCCACACCCACCCTAACGGTTCTGTTTCTCTGGAGAACCCTGACTGATAAAAATTTTGGTACTGGAAGTGGGGGTGCTGCTGTAATAAGTACCTAATAAGCATATGGAGAAAGTTTTGAAACTGGGTAATGGGTGAAGGCTGAAAGAGCTTTGAGGTGTGTGCTAGAAATGTGGATGTTAGGGCCATCTGGTGATGTCTCAGATGGGAAATGAGGAACACATTATTGGAAACTGGAGGAAAAGCAGTCCTTGTTAGAAGGTGGCACAGAACTTGGCCAAACTGTGTTCTAGTGTTTTGTAGAAGGTAAAACTTGTGAGCCATAAAATTGGATACTTTGCTGAGGAGATTTCTAAGCAAATTGTTGAGAGAGGTTTGGTTATTTCTGACTGCTTATACTAAAATATGGGAAAGGAGAAAGATGAATTGAAAAAAAATTGTTAAGCAGAAAGGATCCATAACTGAGATTTAGAGAATTCTCAGCCTATCAATATTGCAAAAAATGAGAAGACTGTTCTGAAGATAGCACTCGGGGTGTGGGTGAATATCCATTTGATAAGGAGATGATATGTATGAATCATGGATTTTAACAGCCACCACAACAGAAGTCAGGAATAGAGATAGGATTATATATTGCCAGCTTGGTACAGAAAAAAACCTAAGGGTATAGAAAAATGAGACAAAATGAAGGAAGGCTATCAGACTTCTTAGATCCTACACTAAGACCAGACCACAGTGCTATTCAGCTCTATGCTTCAACAGGCCAGGGACCTCTCTTGGAACTACTCCGTGTGTGATATTTTGTCATGGCAACCTGAGCAAACTAAGACAAGTGCCTAGTTTCTATAGAGAAAAATAATGTTTGTTGAGTGAATTAATAAATGAATGAATCAAAATCAGTTGAAATCAAGACACTGTTTGAAATAATGATTCTATCCAAAGTGACTGTAGGAGTAAGGAACATTTGGCAAGATTATCCCATCTAAATTTTGGGGAAATGTGAGTCAGTGGAAAAAAGGAAAAGCAATGAAAATACACCATGATTCTCAATAAAATCTTAAAGCAAATGTAACTATTTTAGAGCAAGGGTAAATTTGATTGTAGTTTATAAAGTCCCATTAAAGTTGAATTGAAAAATTACTTTTTAGAAAAAGTATATGATTAGCACAATTTATGGAGAGAATGAAATGGTAATGACTTATCTTAGTTCAGTAATTATGTTACCAAATTAATTTTAA